TTTTGTGGGGAATTTTTAATTTGGTCTCATATCCTGCGTTTTAAACTACGTCGCACACCCTGCAGCGAATCCGCCCACTCACTCACCGTAGTCAAATTGATTTCGCGAAGGGAATTTAAATTGGTCTACGGTAGACGATTATTGAAATCGCTGGTTCCAAATTAGTCTCGTATCTACGATACAAAACCGCATCCACTGCTCCTGTCCCTCTGAAGCCTAGCCTTGGCGCTGTCTGTCCTTACCTACAATACGTGCCGCGACCTCTCAGGCAATAAGCAAAGCACGTCTTATCTAGCGTTACAGATAATGTAATCTCATCGAAATTCCTGCCAGCCCGTCTGTTCACCGCCATTTTGAATTTCTGCCAAGCGACGGCGACTGCCGAGCCCTGCGGAACTCTAGATGTTGTGATTACCGTTGTTAACGGTCCGTTTATGAGATGAATAGAGCAGATAACTTTAACGAGGTAATTAGATTGGATTGGAATTTGTAACTTAACGCCATGAACTTGAACTCTCTGACAGACACGTATTTTTTATCTGTTTGCTTAAGTCATTATTTGGCAAATGAATCGAGGATTTCCGCACTGCGAACAGGTGGTGTGCTTGCAACTTGGTGGGAGAACTATTTGCCTCTCTCCGCATTGAAGGCATCCGTTGCAATTTCAGGGCGGCAAAAAGAAAACATTTTGAATGAAGTATGTCTTATATTGCCATTTACTGCCATTTCTTAGCACATGTTTGTCATTGTTTCATACTTGAAGTGTTTGAAATGCCCCAAAAAAAAACAAGCAAGTTGAGAGCCTTTTTTCGAGGGGGGGGGGGTACCGCCCGTAAATAACTAAAACTAGCTAAGCCTACGATACAAAACAAGCAGTCATTTTCCGTCAGTGACGTCGACATCGCGTTTATGTCTCACAGAATAGGGTCGATTCAACCTACTACATAAAAGAACAATGACCAGAAAATCTCTGAAATTGTACTTGACGCCTTCAATGATATTCTATTCTCTACCAGCAGACTTCTTTACTCCATAGTAGCCAATCGGGGTGTGAGGTGAATGAAGTTCATTGACTCTAAGGTCGACTGACTAACTCCTCTAGTGGCAAAGTATAGATCTACGATGATAACAATGGAGGAGGACTACATCTGTAGTAAAATAAAGGCTTTTATTTTTCTCAGCGAGCACAACAGCCTGGGAGAGCCTAGCTAACTCCCCACTACCTACACCTGTCGAAGCGCGTAAGAATTACCACTTGGACATGTCAGCACCTTATCTGTTACAAATGGTCAGGTCTGGCCCCGTCTCTGGCGTGACAGTGCGCAGCTTGTACCCATCACCTTGTATCAACACGGGGCAGGCAGGTTCAAGGTTCGCGGCCCTGCTGCGCTCTACGTACATCTGTGGCGTACATTGCTGAGGATTGTGTTACCTTCAGATGAATGTTTCGTGAAGAAAAACAGCATCCTTTGCTAGCTGTTAACCTGATTAAGTTGTGCTTTGCCACCCCCGCCCTCCCAGCTTCGCACATAGCTTGCAATAAATTTGCGTACGTGTAAGTGTATGTACCCTTAGGCTTCCCAAGAAATATTTTTTCCTGGCCTGTAGAACCTACAACATTTCAAAAGGATTCTTTTGGGTCTATTTTTACTACTAAACGATAGGAAACTGCCAAGCGCCAAGAAAAAAATCTTTATAACATTATAACTTTACGAAACAAGAACTGCTTCTTTTCTTCGCGTATATCCATGTATCAATCAACAAGTCTATCATTCATACATATGATATGTTAGATATTCCCCGAAACAAGTCATCTGTCAGTAAAACATAATAATGGTTTGTTATGTCAATTTCAAACAAAAACAGATTTATTACGTCATATACAATGGGGTCCGTATTAGAACGCACCATACTATCGAGCTGCAAAAGGTATATGAATGATATTTTCACATATCAGCCATATACAGGGGTATTTCACTGGTATACGCCTATACGGTTTGTGGACGGGATAGAGCTCTTGGTTAGGTTTGATTGAAAGATGATAAGCTTACTTATTTTTAACACACATTATATATATATATATATCATTTTTTCCTTTCATACTATCGTATCAACTCTAAGCCTTAGGATACTTACAATTTTAGGATAGTAAAATTGTCGGCAAAAAATAGGGACTGACAGGCCAGGGGATTGTGCCCACTGTTACGGTTTAATTTCCCGTCATCGGAAGGGCAATGAACTCCACGTACGGTAGCCAAACTCCCCTGGCAAATTATTCTCCTTATTTGTCTAAATTTTACTGCTTTTGAACCCGCGTTGTTAGTCTAGTAGAAACTAAGATTTGATTTCCAAGACAATATTGTCTCTTGCTACGTTTCTAGTTATGTATTCTGTATTAAGTTTCTTTAAAAGCCTTCGAACTCACTCCAGCTCATCGCTAAGCATTTATTACCTCCTCAAAATATCAATCAAAGCATGTCGAATACCTAATAGTATTCACCCGTAAAATGCAGGCAGCCGACCGGCAGAAGGCCTTTTATTGCCGCGGCTTCCAAAAAAAAAAAGGCGTGGAATTTGGCGTTAAATTTTCCAGTGTACAAAAGGTGGTATAAAGGGCGCTAGGTTCAAGTAGGGAGTGAGTACACCAACACGGAACACACGCTTTCAATACAGGAACTACTCGAGTTGTATTCCCCAGAACGATGGGCATTGGGCTCTATTCTTTAGGTGGCAGAGTGTGTGCACTCGAAGCTCTCCCTGGCTAATACCTAGAGACAAACTGGTGGAACGGTATTCGTGCTGGATTTGGACTCGGGAAGCCACCAAATACAAAGGATATCTGGATAAAAGGATATACGTGCTGACTTTGTGCCCTCACCGATCAAGTCTGGCCGCTAATCCTTGAGAGGACGACAGCATCACTAAAGGTCATCAGTTGTGGGCGATAATTTCAAAGGTGAAGTAGAAAAAAATGTTTAGAATTGTTTGTTCTATACCGAACGTTTCAAATGTTGCGTTGAGGAGTTGATCTGCTCTTTATCGTCTGCAGAAGGGCAGCTGATCCTGTCAGGGGAGTCTGTAGGGAGTCGGAAATTGATTGGGTGGGCGGGCCTGCGAGGCCGAGGGCACCGGGGAGTTAGGTCAGACCACAGCCCCGCCTTCCCGCTCACACTGTCTGAATGTGTCGTCTGCAGGCCCGTGTTTTGACCAGTGGGTTTTAGCTCAGATTAACTCTAAGACCAGCGGGAGACCGTTCAACACAGAAAACAGGACCGTCTCCTGACGAAACTGAGGTAAACCATTGAGTTCTACCATATTCAAGACCACTACTTAATGCAGACGATCCTTTGTAGTATTAAATGCTCTTTTTATGTACGCGGATTCGACAGGAGAAAAGGAATCTTTGAAAGCAAAAATAATATTGTGTAGGAAAATACAAAGTAGTGTTTGTTGTCATGTGGCCACGGTAATGGCCGATGTGTCAGTCTGACCTCTGGTTTTAGTTCCACATTGTTGTCACTGACCCAGCAGCTCTTTCAAACCTTTGGGCTCATAATCAATCACGTCACCTTTTTTTTTGTTTGAAGGACAGGACGGCATGATTCAGCACACATGCACTATATTTGCCTTTGTAGTTTACCGAGTTCGGCTGCGCCGGTTTTACGTTGTGAGGTTGGAGTTTCACCATCGAAAAAGCTTGACATTTACTGAATGCTTCATTTACTGGATTTACGAGAATTTTGTGTGCAATATACTGGCAAACAATAGGAATGTCCTTTGAGGCCATACCTAGTAATGGTATATATATGGCCATGTCGTCCTACGGCCATGGACATCACCGGTTCAAGTCTGTTTTGTGTTATAATGGTATCTAGTTAACGACCCGTTTTACAGAGGCAGGGGGATTTGACGACCTTTTCTCTTCTAGGGATGATTCAATAGTTGTTATTATGGCGTCTATTTGAACTTTATCAAGTGAAACAGGTGATGCTTTAGAGTAAAAAAAATATTTTTCAAGTATTCATTTTATTCAAATCCTCTTCTAGAATCGTGCACATCTACGGTACCGCTAATGCAAGTTTTATTTCAAGCTGATTTTGTTTTCATTCTGTACCTTACACAAACCCTTATACTGTGGGAGACTGTTGACCCTTATGACCGTTTGAAACGCTCCACAAAATAGCTTAAAGGAGGACTAACCTTTCCTTTAGTTTTATAGGGTCACTTTCTTTCACTTCCATTCGGTTGTGTTCTGCCATAACTCTTCAGTCCAACAAGGCATGAAAGTACAATTGTAAGATCAGAGGCCGGGAGAAGCAGTACCATCTGTGTGTTATGTGTGTGTGTGGATGTGTACTGGATGCCTGCCACTTGTCATGGCGACCGACGTGACACTCTGTAAGCAGCCCCGGCTATAGATCATGTAGTTAGCACAACGTAGCCTCCGTGTGACCACAATCGGACAGGGGCAGACACTGATGTTTCGGCGCCGATTTCTAAATCCTCTCGACGCCCTGCCAAGTTTGAAGTTCTGTGACCTTGGAGTGTGGTTCCGACCCATCCGATGAACAACACAGGGAAGGGGAAACGGGAGGAGGATCAGCACGGAGAAGGGGTAGGATCTCAGTGGGACAACCACCGTCACCTATGCACCCCTCCCATCTTTTCGCAAGTGAATTTTAGCAACAACATGTCCCCTTGAACTACTTTCCCGTTCTGTTCTGGACGCCTGTTCTGTTATCTGCCCCACCAGGACACTGTTTGGAGATCTAGGACGATCTCGTGTCACAGGATCAACGCATTTGTCAGCGACTGTTGTAACATTTCCACGTGTACACATGTTGGGTTGTTGTTCTGACGCCTGGTGAACCATGAGGATGGTCTATTGAGAGGGGGTGTGACAGACTAACAGTTGAACTGGACCTGAACTTCACAGTTTATGTCATTGATAGGTGAGAAAAGGGGTGGTTGAGTCTTCATTTTTTTCTTCTGTTTTTCAGGGGTCCAAAAGTAAGATGAACCGGCGCGGCTCGGACTGCAAGGCTACCGAGGCGAAGCTGGTTGTCTCGGGGAAGATGGGAGTGGGAAAATCAGGTCAGTATAAATCTTCAACGTGTTTATAGGGTCCTGAAGGTCGGGATAACAACATCAAACTATCAATTACATTAACGTATAAGGGGACTGAATTGTCATTGTATGTTCTTATACACAACGTTAATTGCACATGGAGAAGTTTCGAACTAATTGTGGACAGGTATCAACTAAGTAGTTTTTCTGTTTAATTCTTTTTTTAAGTTTTTAAGAGGGGCAAACATGAAAACTGGAGAACGTTTTGAAAGCACGTGCACCATATTACATCAGGCTCATTAGAATCAAACCAGGATTGCCCATATAAGGGCGATAGCTGGCGTATTCAAATCTTTCTGTTCAGTACTTACAACGCTAACTCCGAATTCAGTACCGTATAATTCAGAAGTAAATCAAATTTGGACAAACCATGCATGGGTTGGAGTATTTGACTATTTGCAGAGTAAAGAACAACATTCGAGTCATCCATCCTACGATTACGTGACTCATTAAAGGAATAGGTTGTCTCAATATTTGACCATCTACCTGTTCTTTTTCTGATGTACAAAACAACATGTTGACAAATCTCACATTATTATTGCTGTCACGTTTCTATCTTTGCGTACATCAACCAAGTAAGAGGAATTGAGTCTTTTCGAAAATACATGTATGTCTGACGTTTCAGGCTGATGTGTCACCGTTAGGCCATGTTGATTTGATTACATGGATGACATCCTCTGGGAACCCCAAAACTGATGCGAGCGTATGAATAAAAAAAATTGGCAAAAAATGAGTTGCTTTCATTATGAAATCTACGTGGTCAAGAAGGTGGGCGAAATGACACAGAGAGAGTATGGTATGGCGAATAATCTACTCTTTTAAATTCATTTCTTTTTATCTTCGTCTTTTTCTTGTAATCATGGCATTCTACGACATTGGTATTGTTTTCCAATATTTGTTTTTGCAGCTTACGGTATACATTTTCTCATTTTGCAACTGTTTTGTACGATTTACAGTATGGTTGAAAACTATTTATTTGGAAACGGCCGAAAATTCATGCGCGGAGATATCATCCATATAATCAAATTGACATGGCCTTACCTACACAGCGTCTGTTTGTTGCCGTTGGCCGGCCGTAAATGTACCGTTAGTAGGTCAGTTGTAAGAATGTAAAACTTTCCCTGGAGTAAACCAGACGCAGCTAATGCATTTTGTAAGGGGCTATTCCATTATGTATGTGCTGTTAGGTGTGGAAATCCATTGTTTCTGTAGTATATGTACAGTCAAACTTGCCCAGTGGACCACTGGCCGACTATCTGAATGCAGAGTGTTAAAATGAGTAGAAATTTTGCAGCAGTATTCTTGTTCTCTGTCTTGTCGCCATGCTTTTTCTATAAGACGACCACTTGTCTACGAAGACCACTTTTCCTCGGTAGTCGTCTTAACACTTAGACACATTTCACTGTTACGAAAGACCAAAGGTACAACTTCAACAAGGCTTCATCGGGTCAGTTTTCACCGTTCAAAACCCATTTTCACCCTTCAAAACCCAATTTTCACCCTTCAAAACTCAAATTTTCACCCTTCAAAACCCAATTTTCACCCTTCAAAACTCAAATTTTCATCGTTCAAAACTTAATTTTTCACCCTTCAAAACTCAAATTTTCACCCTTCAAAACCCAATTTTCACCCTTCAAAACTCAAAATTTTCATCGTTCAAAACTTTTTTTCACCCTTCAAAACTCAAATTTTCATCGTTCATCGACTCGTCCCCAGGATACTATGGTTGGCTCTTCCCAGTATGCTTTGCGCGGAGCGTGGTCTCTTTCCCAGGGCAGTCAAATACAAACACGAATACGCTGTTATTCGCTGCAGTCCCGCCGTGCCCAGAACGTAATTTTATATTATACCGGACGCTGTGGAAGGAAAACATTTCCAACACGGTTCCAACCGCACCAAGGCACGATTTTCAACCGGCTGTTTTTGTAAGTTAGAATGGGGAGGGGGGCCGGGGGCGTTTCTAAGTACTTAGACTACGTTTCTAAGTACTTAGACTAAGTTTAAGGGTAGTTTTTTCGTGTTTATAAATTATGTTGTGGACAGAGTCCGACGGACTGTTGTTGGTTTCTTGTAATCCCAAAACTTACTGCTCCATTGGTTTTGGAACTACTTGTATTTGTTTTGAGTGGCGGACAGACGTATATTTTCCGACATAAATTCCCAACTATTTTCCACTGACACAGTTTCTCCAAATTGTTACATGACTGTTTGGCGCGATCACTAGCTAATCTTACCCATTGCATTCTAAAGTTGCAGCTTCTGCTGACTTTTTACACTTTTCGTAGCCCACATTTTGTTGCTTATGCATTAGAGCTCATTGTAATTCATTCATTAATGTGCACAGATTGTCTCACCTTTCCTTAGAACATGGCCACCTTTCCTCAGCCAATCAGGAGCCTGTATTTCTTGTGACTAAATCCACATAGTGTGGTCCCCAAAGGGACAGGGGTGTACTAACCAACGAATAAATTAGACTAAGTCGGAGACGCCCATGTACTAACCAACGCATAAATTGACTAAGTTGGAGACGCCCACCGTTCACATGCAAATAAATTGATTAAAAAAATTAACAACACAAGAAAACAGCAGTTTGATCAATTTCCCTGTACATCTTTATTCAAAAAGGTAAACAAAAGAAACTCATGACAAGGAAAGTGAACAACGAACAGAGAATGAATAACGAGTATGGATGAAGCAAAAAAATCAGAAGGTTTCTTACAAATGTCATGTATAACGAGAGTTTCTCATACATTGTAAAAAAATGAAACACAGAAGCTACAAACTTTTAGCGATACATTAAAACGATGCAAAGTCTTCCCAACATGTCTTACATGATTTGCACATTCTTAAACTTTGAAAACAAACCATGGTAAGACTAAAAACAAGAATACACCAACATGCTTAGACAGCAGGGCAGGCACTGGGCGAGGGAAGGAGGGGTATGAGCAGGAACGAGTCGGCCCGGGAAAAGAACACTGAACAGGCCGGCAGAGACGCCACGACAAACTTGTTTGGGATCAGGTCAGGGACTGCTGTCTCAGACAGACAACCGAGAATTTTTTAACCCCAAAACAGAAGGCATTGTGGGGCTAGCAAAGTGTTGTAAACCATGACAAGAACCGCTATGCATATTTCACACAAGGCTGCGAGAAGTAGCTCAGCTGCAATTCATGAATGAGAACAAAAGGAGGTACTACAAGCTGTAATGTTGTAGGTAAGGTTTCTAGGAAAACAAACGTGTGGTTTTTGAAGAAAACAAAACATGACTGTGTAAAATGTATTTCTTCTGCTTCGGAAAGGTGGCCATGTTCTAAGTATTAGTTAAAGGATGGGCGGAGCGAGTTTATGTGGATTTGGTACAGCCCCGCACCCCCCTCGGATTTTGTTGGCACCCCTCGGGCTCCGCCCTCGGGATGCCAACAAAAT